TGTAGTGAGGGGCTGCAGGGCAGGCCTGCTTTTCTCCTCACCCGGCTCCCGCACGGCTAGCTTAGTCCCAGAAATAATAACACACAAGTTATATTCATTTAAGCACTGCCTGGCCCATTATCTCTTAGAGAGTTAGTTACTGACTAACTCTCATATCTTGATATTAACCCATTTCTAATAATCTGTAGCACCACGAGGTGGTGGCTTACCGGAAAAGATTTAGCATGTCTGACCTGGTGGCTGGCTCCATGGCGTCTGGCTCATAGCCCTCTTCCCAGCATTTTGTTCTGTTTACTCCGCCTACCTAATTTTCTGTCCTATCAAGGGCCCAAGGCAGTCTCTTTATTGACCAATGAAAATAACACAATAGACAGATAACCCTCCTCCATCACCTGTGCAAGGCCAGAGACCCCTGTCTCAAACCACACGAACAAGCTGGGCAGTGGTGGCGCACGCCTTTAATCCCAGCACTTGGGAGGCAAAGGTAGGCAGATCTCTGTGAGTTTGAGGCCAGCCTGGTCTACAGAGCAAGTTCCAAGACAGGCTCCTGTCTCGAAAAACCAAAAAAAAAAAAAAAAAAACCAATAAAGAGAAGAAAAAAACCACACACACAAATGGAAGCTCTGTTCTTGACTGAATAAAGTAACTTAGCAGTTCAGAGAGAGATTTTTGTTTTCTTTATATATAAGGAGATAGTACCTCATTGATGCTCCATCCACCAAGATGCGCTTGCTCTGGTGTCTACTTCCTGTTATCTGGTGCTGGAGATGGAACCCAGGGCCTCATGCACAGTAGGTAGGTAAGCACTCTACCACTGTGCTGCACCTCCAGCCCGGAGCTGGGTGTCTGTGTCACCCTCACCTAGACAGAAAGACAGGGAAGGGTGGCGAGCGTCACAGGTACAGAAGGAAGGTCTTCAGATTGATGAGCCGCACAAAGCCATTGGTTCATGTGGTGTGATTCATTAAGGGCTGATGGCAAAGTGGGGTTCATGGTGATGGGCACCCTCATGGAGCAGAGATCCAAGGCTGCTCTGATTGAAGCAGTAATTTACCCTTGCCTATAGAGCTCAATGGGACAACATTTGCCTAGTTTGTGCAGGGCCTTGGGTTCCAGCCTCAGCACCAGAGGGGCAGGGCTTTGTGTTATGTCATTGCAAGTGGCATGAGGTGGCATGAAGATGCATAGCTGTAACCCCAGCACAGAGGATAAGACAGGACCCCCAAGGGTCTGAGCCTGGTCCGGGCTGTGTAATGAGACACTGCCTCAGAGGGGGGAAACCAAAAACACCCCAGTGACTTTGTGCTGTGCAGTGAATCTCAGTGTTGGAATACAGACTTCATATGGATCCAACACACACACACACACACACACACACACACACACACACACAGAGTAAAAAATGCCAGGGCCAGGGAGATGGCTCTGAGCATAAAGGTGTTTGCCTTCCCTGCCTGATAACCTGAACTTGATCCCAGACCCTCATGGTAGACGAAGAGAATCAACAACCACAAGTTGCCCTCTGACTTTCATACGTGGGCCATCACACAAACATAAAGTAAATAAATAGAAAAATATCTGGCGGTGGTGGTACATGCCTTTAATTCCAGCACTCAAGAGGCAGAAGCTGCTGAATCACTGAGTTTAAAGCCAACCTGGTCCAGAATGGCCAGGGCTACACAGAGAAGCCCTGTCTCGAAAAACCAAAAAAATAAATAGAAAAATAGTAGTCCCCGTTGGCACAGCGTGTTTGACCCACACCAGTACTGGAGGTCCACCCTTGGTCTCCAAACAGAAGCGGTAATGCACCCCTTCTGACTTTGTGTTTGGGTAGCAACAGGTGAGTCTGGGCCAGGCAAGGTTTGTGTGGAAGCCAGTAGCCTACTGTCTCCCGTGCAGGTGGCAGCAGCCGGCGCCTTTGCACAGACGCTGCGGCGCTACACGTCACTCAACCACTTGGCACAGGCAGCGCGGGCCGTGCTGCAGAATACCGCGCAAATCAACCAGATGCTGAGCGACCTCAACCGTGTGGACTTCGCAAATGTGCAGGTGAGCGAGCACCAATGGGGCTGGGATGGGGCAGGGTTGGGGGGCATCGGGCAAGAAAGCTGAGCGGCTGCTGTTGTGCTCCATCCAGGAGCAGGCCTCGTGGGTGTGCCGCTGCGAGGACCGTGTGGTACAGCGTCTGGAGCAGGACTTCAAAGTGACGCTGCAGCAGCAGAACTCACTGGAGCAATGGGCTGCCTGGCTGGACGGCGTCGTGAGCCAGGTGCTCAAGCCCTACCAGGGCAGTTCAGGCTTCCCCAAGGCTGCCAAGCTCTTCCTCCTCAAGTGGTCCTTCTACAGGTGCGCGCCTGTACTGCGGGGTTCTGGCTGGGGGCGGGGTGGGAAGACCAGTGTGTGTGTGAGAAAGCCTTCCTATAACGGTGTGCTTGTGAAGAGTTGTGAGCGCGTTAGGCAAAGCCCTGCAGCTCATGAAAGACATTGGGAAAACAGCCCTGCAGGCCTGACAGTCTCTGGTCACTGCCCCCAGCTCCATGGTAATCCGGGACCTGACCCTGCGTAGCGCTGCCAGCTTCGGCTCCTTCCACCTTATCCGGCTACTCTATGATGAGTACATGTACTATCTGATCGAGCACCGTGTGGCCCAGGCCAAGGGCGAGACCCCAATCGCCGTCATGGGAGAGGTGCGCACGATGAGGTACTGGGGCTTGGGTAGACTCCAGGCAGTGGAATCCTAACCTTTTTCTTTTTCTTCCAGTTTGCAAACCTGACCTCCTCGCTGAATCCCTTGGATCCTGACAAAGGTAATAATGCATGTCCCTACCTAGGACCTGGGATTCGGGGGTGGGGATGCTGACAGGGAGGCCAGGTGTCCCTAGAATTTCAGTCTTTCGCTGAGCTGGGCTTGCTCCCTGTGCTCCAGACGAGGAGGAAGAGGAGGAAGAGGAAAGTGAAGATGAGCTGCCACAAGACATCTCGCTGGCGGCAGGCAGCGAGTCCCCTGCGCTGGGCCCAGAATCCCTAGAGCCACCTGCGAAGCTGGCACGGACTGACACACGTGGCCTCTTCGTGCAGGCCCTGCCCTCCAGCTAAGCCCGAGACATCCCTGCCCCATCCACCCACCTACCCGCAGCTACTCTCCCTCCAAGGGTCAGGGTCAGTCCCTCCGAGCCAGGGTCCGGTCCCTCAGCTTTTGAGGCTTTACTGTCACCCTTCCAGCCCACACCAGAGCTGGAGAGGGTCCCTGTGACAGGGAAGGCTAGGGGAGCCTCCCCTCACACGGAGCCGGTACAATCATGGGCTGGGCTGGGCAGAACTGAAGCTGCAAACCCTGACACAAAAGACGTGCCTTAAGGAACCTGCCCAGGTGCCCTCTCTCCTGCCCAAGCTCGTAGCCCTGTTCCCCTACACCACCCCAGAGGGCAGCAGGCTGGCTCCTCCCCTGCGAACTGTTAAGTTATTCTGCTCTCTGGCTTTGCACAGCCTGCCCGGGCAGACCCGAGCCCGGTCAGGCGCAGGTGGGTGGCACTCCAGGACACCCACTCTCAGCAGCAGCAGCCCCACTGCTCCCTTTCTTGGTATAAGTGCAATTAAAGCTGTGGGTGTCGCACCTTCTCCAGAGCTGGGTTCTCCTGGCCCCGCAGCCCAGAGAGGGGCATATTGTGAAGGGCCCCTGGCCTCCAGCTTCCAAAGAGGAGCATCGGCTGGCTGCAGGGCCAGGTGCTCCAGACCTGAGGCCGCGCCCTGCGCCTTCCACCCTACCGGCTTGTGACCGAAACCTGCTCCCAGAGACGCTTCTCCTCTGTGCCGTGCCCCTGCCCCCTGTAACTATTGTGTGATTAGTGAGTGCCGCTTGAGCGGAGTCAGTAACTCGTTGGGTTTTTTTCCAACCATCATGGCCTTATCCGTTCCCGTTTTCTCAGTGTCTTCAATCTGTGATAGATGTTTATGGAAAAAAAAAAAAAGGAAATCTGGCCTATTGTATAGAAATCACTATTTTGTGTGCTCCGCGTGCTACAGCTTTTGGGGTGGTCCTGCACACTCCCCATGGGGCCTCCCTTCCCAGTGGTGAAAGTATCCATGCGCGTGGTAGTTTAGTGTGCTGTTTTCTACCTTTTTGTAGTCTTTCTTAAAACAATAAATACTGCTGTGATCTTTGTCTACTGATGACTATCAAGGTTGGGGGGGACGACAACCCTGTGTGTTGAGGACAGAAAGAGAACACCAGCCAGGCTCAGAAATAAAGCATTTAGTACATGAAGAACAAGGCCAAGTGGCCACAGGGTTCCCACCCCAGGTAAGGGAGGCTGGAGCCACTGGGCCTCCCTAAGGGGCTACACTTGCAGCCAAGGAAAGAGGCCAGAGCACAGGAAGCAGGACTGGGCTTTGCTGGGGCAGGCCAGGCCTGAGAGGCCCTCCCTCTGCCCTTTCCCAACTTAAATAGGCATAAATAAAGACACATCCAGACTCTTGGGGCCACCAGAGGCTGCTGTACCAGTCCCATCCCGCAACCTAACACTAGTGCCAATTGTGGCCCCTGTAGGGCCAGCCCAGGAAGGCGGTCCTCTCCCGGGCCCGCGGAGGTAGTTGGAGTCAGGGTCCAGGGCAGTCCAGCCCTCACAGCACAATCCAAGTGTACCGCTCACTGTCAGCCAGAACCTTCAGTGAGCACCCTGCAGAGGAAGACACACAGAACCATGATCCACTTGTCCAGTCCTGCAGAAAACATCCATGGCCTAACTGGACCCAGAAAGTCCCAAAACAGGCTCCCTTTTCCAGCTACGGTTATACCCTGAGTAAACCCCCAGCTGGATGGCACTCTGTCTATGACACCCCTGGCACTTCCAGCATGCCCTAGAATCCAGGGTAAGGTAAGTGTAGTGCCCAATCCCTACCTTTATGCAGTGCCTCATTCGTCATCCTGTTGACATAGCGGCCGCTACTCTCCGGCACAAGCCATTTCATGACCATGTCCACACAGCTCTTTCGGTAGGAGCTCCAGACACTGCCACTGGGGGCCAGGGGGATGAGTGAACAGGAGCCTTTCAGTCAAGCTTCCCTGCCAACCAGCCAAGCTTCCCTGGCAACCCACTCTTGTCCTGCCTCACCTGGTCTGCCCTTTGACCTCGGTTAGGTCACCCACGCTGACTGTCTCAAAGATGCCCGTGTTGAGGTCCCAGGCCACCTTTAGACTGGTGTGGTAGGTCTTTGGTCTGTGGCGGTGGAGGACAAGAGGGTGGGCCAGTGAGTTCCTGCACTGGCTTGCCAATGCACCAGTGCCAGGATAGGCACTCCAGGTCCTGTCTGCTCACCCTTTACACCCTGCCCTGAAGGGTCTGTCTGTGTATGACCACCATGTGAGAGTTAGCCAAGGGCCCTGCCACTTACCGAAGCTGGCCCTCCTCAGTGGGGGCTGGGAAGGCTAGGAGCAGCAGGCCAATGTTGATCAGGACCTGGTTGGTTTCTGGGCAGACCTGGGCAGCAGGCAGTGACAGTTACAGATGAGGTCCAATAGTGGGAACACCCCAGCCTCCTGCAGTGCCCTAGTCTCACCTCCAGGATGACTATATCATAGTCACTGAAAGAGCAGAACTGGTGACCCCAGGTGGCATCGTGGCGGATGACCTCGTTGATGACATACTCAAAGTCCAATGTGAGCTGCTCCACTGTCAGGTACTGGCCCTGGTGACAGATGTCAGAGAGCTAGGGGTAGGTAGTGCCAACCACCCCACAGGTCACCTATGGCCTACACCGTGGCTACCCACCTGCATGTCTGTCCGCTCTCGCATGGGCCGTAAGTTGCGGCCACGGAGGTCAGTCACCACAAAGGGCAGGGAGATCTTGTCATCCTCAAACTCTGGGGAGGCAGGCAGAAGGTAGGAGCAGGCCAAGGGTCCTCCTGGGACTACCCCATCCCAGAGCCTGTCCCAGGAAACCCCCTCACCATCCTCAGGTTCTGTCCCTTCCCCAGACCGCAACACATAGTGCAACTTGGTGTAGTTGATGTAGCCAGGCTCCGGGGCAGACGCCTCTGAAGCAGGAGGACTGTCCCTGGGCACCACTTCCCCACTTGGGGCTGGTGGCTCTGAGGATGGGCGGCAGCGGCTACTTGAGGGCCCCAGGCCTGAGGGCAGCCGAGCTTCCTCCAAGGTACCACCCTTGGCCTCTTTGGCCCTGCGGAAGATGTCAGCCACAAACTCCTTGGCCTTGGCAATAGCTGGTGAGGGCTCGGGAGCTCCAGAAGGCCGAGCTGGGATCACCTCAAGGCCAAGGCTGGGGAAGGCAGGGGCTGCCTCAGGGCTCCAAGGTCCTGGAGAGCTGGGTGGAGGTGGGGGCAAAGCTGTGTGGTCGTACAGGATTTGGCAGAAACTGCTGTCACCTGCAAGAAGCAAAGCGCAAAGGGCTGTGTCATCACAGTTCAGGGTTACTCTGGCCTGCCTCAGAGTCTGGGTTATTAGAAACCCACCTGAAAGACTCCCTGGAACCTTTCCTGTCCTGAAATCAGTGTTAAACTCTGGAATTCAGAAACCACACATACTCTGAACACGAAGACATGCATGAATTCAAGACTTTTAAAGAATATGCTGGGGTAGAACCCAGAGCCTTCACTCCCCTGCTGAGCCACCTGCAGCCTCAAACCTCATTTCTGAACACGTGTTATGCTACCCAGAAAGGACTCTGCAAATGAGACAGATGCACGAAGCTGTGCCCTTGGGGTGCAGATCACAGTGAGAACCAGCAAGAGTCACCTAGGTGAGCAGATCAGCACAGGCAGACAGGCCCCAGGAGAAGGGGTCAGCAGAGGAACCTAGTTGGTCACCACAGAGTGCCATGCCTCTCCCTCTAGGCAGCACCATGCCCCTCGGAGAAGCTATCTAAGGGGCCATGGTGGGACACTTTCAGGAAAGAAGGTATTGAAAATGGCTTGGCATACACCTCTGGGATACGCTGAACACCAGTTAGGGACAAAGCTAATACTGATCTCCAGGCTAAGAGTCTTCAGTCCTGCTTGGGCTTTGTGTGGGAGGCTCATGGCCAACAGTCAGGTGGCAAAACATTGGTAAGGGTTATGTCTTTCTCCCATAGTGGCAGAGGTGTCCAGGGCAGGGCTGGGAAAATTCAAGCTGAGTCTGAGGATTGAGTGCCCCATCCTCTGCTGGCCAGGCTGGTCACATGCACTTCCCTCTGGCTCGCTCTTCCCCTGCCCCAGGACAGTCATTTCAATAAGAATGGTCTTGAGTTCTCCCCAGATCAAAACACATCATGTTTATCCCAAAAGCAGTACACAGCTATCAATCTCTCTTCTGCGTCTGTGTCCAGGTGTGCTATATGGATGCCGTGGCCTCTCGTTGGTATTCTACTGGACACTGACTGGCCCCGTTCGACCACAGGAAAGGAAGGCATCAGGGGGCCCTGGCTCCCTGATATGGACCTGAACACACACCTGATGAATTCAGGCTTTCTCAGAGGAGGGAAGTCAGCAGGGCAGAGCTGTGGGCTCAGACTCACGGACCCTCACTCTATTCCTGCCAGACAGTGACATCATACCACTTCCTATTATGCTACTCTATCAAGACATGGAGTAATGGCTTAGCAAGTCAAGGTGCCTACAACTAGCTGTGTGGACCTGGGTTCAAAATTCCTGAACCCACGTGGTAGAAAAGAATCAACTCTTGAAAGTTATCCTGATGAACATGACATACACATGTGTACACATTTATGCACAGAGACACACAATTTTTTTTTTTAAGTAATTAAAAAGTTAAAATGTACTAGGCATAGTGGCACATGCTTTTAATCATAGCACTTGGGAGGCAGAGGCAGGCAGAGCTTTGTGAGTTCGAGGCCTGGTTTACAAAGCTAGTTCCAGGATAGTCAGGGCCGTTACATAGAGAAACTCTGACTCAAAAAAAAAAAAAAAAAAACAAACAAAAAAAAAGTAAAATAAAGTGCAACTTAAAAATTAAAAAAGAAATAGAGAACATACCACAAGATTCAGGTGTGGTAATACACACCTTTAATTCTACCACTCAGTAGGCAGAGGCAGGGATCTTTGTGAGTCTGAGGCCAGCCTGGTCTATCAGGTGAGTTCCAGGACAGCCTGGGCTACACAGACATTGTCTAACAACAGAGGTACTGTGCCATTTGTTACTGGTATTCCCTGACACCAAGGCTGCAGGGAAGGCACCACTGGCTACAGAGGCCTAGGAGCACTGCCCAATGTCAGACCATCAACACTGTATTAACATGGTCTCTCACTCTCACACGAACTGCCCAAGGGAGCACTACTTAGGACACATCCCTGTCCTCAGAGTACAGTAACTGAGGTGCATTCCGTCCTTGTCTTTTCCATCATGCTGGGAAGGAACACAGTCCTGCATGTATGTGCTCAGTGGGTCTCCAAGCGGAGCTGCCCCAGCACTGCATCCTAACCTACCTGCCCAGGCAATAACCTCTAGCCCCACTACTGCTAAAACAGCTCCTGGGTTGATAGATTACACTCAGGCAGTCACTGGACAGGTCAGCCCCTTGGAAAGTTCTAGTGGACAGTACTGGGGGTGATGGAACCAGCCTCCAAACCTCCCAGCTCTGGAGCCCTCTCAGCCAGGTCTCCTGGTCCACCCTGTGAATAGAAATGGGCCTACCTGCTGAGTGGACAGAGACAGCGCAGGCCACCAGCGAGTAGCTGGTGTTGAGCAGCACCACCTGATCCTTCTTGAGTTGGAAGGCGGGTTGAAAGGTGGGAAAAGGGTACACCACCTGGTACTTGGTGTGCAGCATGAAGCCATGCCGCAGACACTGTGCGCTCGGGTCCCCTGCAGCAAGACACACTATAGCTCACTTGATGCCCTGGCAGGGGTCCAGCGGCCACGTACCCCTCCAAGGCCCGACGCCTTACCTGGGTGGGCACGACTGGCATCCTGGCAGGCAGCACAGCGACCCCGAGGCGGCACAGCCACAGTGCTGATGTAGATGTCACGATGGTTCTCATCACTCATCATCATCATATTCATGAGCATCCCATTGGCTGAGCGGGTGCTAGGGGTGGTACACCCTCAGCCTGCAGCCCATCTAGGGGCTACCAGCCCACCCTGCCTGCCCCGCAGCCACCCTGCCTGCCCCCAGTCTCACTTGAAACCGAACACGATGACCTTGGAAGCGT